AACTAAAACTGCATATTATTTGGTAGACACGTAAACAATAAATTGACACATAAACAAAGAAATTGACACCTAAGCAAAGACCCATTTCAGCATTAAATCGTAACAATAACTCCTAATTTGGTATTTTCATAACATAAACTGCATAAACTGCACTTTGCTGTGGAGTTTGGACTGAAAAAAACCATTCTCCGCAAATTATCTTAATTTGAGCATTCGTTTTTTAATGTGTTACAAAAAAAACCCTTATCAGACGCATAACCATTTAGTTCTAGTCACATGGTCTTTAATGTGTGTGATGAGTAGAAGGTGTGCGAATAGGGAAAAAGAATGCATACTCTGCCCATGAGAAGGCATTGTCTAAGGCTTCTAAGAAACCCCCAACAAAAGGCCAAGGAGGTGAAGGATCACTTGCTATCCACCACCCTACTGGTATTCTCACTGCATTCAGGCCATTTTTCGATATGAATTTGAAGTCATCTTCAACAATGAATGTTTTCCAGTGCTCCTGATAAGCATGGACATGTTATATATACATTCCATTGAAATTCCCTAAATACACTATTTTAAACTTTTTAGTCCTATTGCATGCACTTACCCTCATGACTTTCGGAGCATTCTCAGGACCATACCTATTAGTGACTTGAAATTCACCCTGCAATCTTCCGGTACAGGTCATCAAGAACACTGATGGATCATTGTCCCCCCATTCATTGCTCCCTTGACAATCAGCTGTCACTAGCGCTTCTGATTGTGCCTGCAAGAAGAATCCATTTGGTGCTTTGATTCAAACCCGGCTTGCATCATTAGAATTAATAACAATCTCGAATGTTTCTGAATCTCTAGGTGTGTTAGAAACAGCTACTATGTCAACCCCATTCCCACTAGTGTCTAGTCCAACGAATTGCTTATTAAACACCCTGAAGTTAAAAGCTGTCTCATTTATCCTCCACAGCTACACATACCCAAAAAAGAACAACAAAAACAATCATGAAAGTTACACAGATTGGGAGGTTCAAACAAGAAGCAATAAAATGAAAAGTAGGACAGGTTATTGAGAATGCCTCCCAACCAGAGGCAACTGTCTTGTTTGCAACTATGATTGTTCCTCCACCATCCTCTACGCAGAGATACCTCCCAGTTGTTACTGATTTAAATTGAAGTCCTATCCCGTCCTAATTCCACAAAACATGGAAGAAAGTATGAATTTCAAGTCTGTGATTAATAAAAGAATTACTGAAGATCAATAAAATTAATGTACAAACCAAGAAATCTTTGTTTGGGATGCCATCAAAGAGTGAAGGTTTAATCCAACCTTCTGTAACCAGCCAACCTCCAAGATTCACTGCTTTTATGGGAGATCTCGGAGTTAGAGCCATTCCATTAGAGAAAGATAACACAAAAGAGAGGAGACATATGCTTAGGAACTGCCTTGTTGAGATGAAGATGATAGACATTTTGAAAAGCTTTTCTTTGCCTCCACTTCCTATGCCACCTTTTCATGACCTTGTCCATGTTTTATATACACGAGAAAATGGTAGCCAAGGAGTTATGGTTTAATTAACAAGGGGGTATGCTTTCTATTTTATTGACTAAGATTTAATTTAAAGTTAATGAAAAAATAATTCTTTATGAATTTTCTAGTTTTGACTTGATTGACTTGTTTTTTACTAAACTTGAATAAGATTTAATTTTAAGGTATACACAAATTAACCTAAAAAATAGAAACACCTTAAATACTAAATTATATATATATATATATATGTACACTAGAAAACAGAACTTCTGAGTTGTGACCCACTGAGGATTTGATATCCATGAAGTTCAGTTTTCAGCCTTTATTTCTTTAATGAAGAATAAAATCTCATTCGACTAACTTGTGTAAAAAAATGTTACTGTCGGTGCTATTAGTCCAAGGCAAGCATCACCTATTGACTGAACTTTATTTTTTTTTGTCCATAAATGGACAATGAGAAATTGAACATATTGCATCTAGGCATTGGCTAGGCATGCAACTGGCTGTTATGTGCGAGTCAAACGCATTAGCCGGCCTCCATTATCCTAATAATTCAAAACCTGGCTACACACAGAAAATGATCAGACAACAGAAAGCATCAGATATATTGTTGTTGCATAGGACATGTTAAGTCTTGTGAGAAGGATGGATGCGCCTAGGAAGTGGAAGGAACAATTAGTTAGTGAAGGAAATGGATCTGTAATGAACCTTTAGTGGAAGGTGCATCATTGTTCTTTTTCTTGGTTTGTACATGACTATATGCATAATTTATTTATCTTGAAAATTCATTCTTGAAAAAAGGATTGAGATTGAGTGGGTTTGCAAAAGCAGAGAAAGAAGTTGTTATTGTGCAATGCCCCATCAAAGGGTTGACTTGGACTGTGCTTGGAATATTGAATTTAGATAAAATTAACAATTCCTTAGTCAATGCCTTTGTTGGTGTGGTACAATCGTTAAAATTCAAAGAAGTAAATGACAGAAAGTTAACGACAGATGGCGAAAGGAATAAATATATTTTTTATAGTTGAGAATAAAAAAGTACATAAAATAATTAAAAGATTAAAATTATACAAAATGCTAAAGTTGAGGGATTATTGGTATTTAACCTTAAAAATAAAACATTTTTAACAACTCATTTGAAGATCCACCATTCAGCCCTACAAGCTGGGGCAAGCAAAACCTAGCCTCTGGCAATATAGACTTCATCTCAAGTCCATTCTTCAAATAGACCCAATAAGAAAGTGGGCTTTGAAATTATGAACCCACCATAATTAAAAAAAAAAAACAAAGGCAAACCGACAAAAATATAGGTAGGGCTATTTTTGACATTTCAACACATTACGTTATTCCGAAGCAAAAAAAAAAAAAAAAGCCAATAATTCCACTCGCATTATATCATCACCCATGTTCATGTGCGCACCGACAGCGCCACCTACATGTCTTAATTGTCTGGGTCCTCTAACCCATGATCTATCGGGTGATGGTATTGTAATGCTTAATTTATAATGTTATATATATTTTTACTTTAATTAATTATTATATTTTTAAATTTTATTAAAAGATAAAAAATATAATAAATAATTATATTAAAAAATATATTATTAATAATATA